GTTTGAAAAAAGACCCAGAAAACCAAATCGGCTGATATGCTTCTACTAATAATAATGATGTGCAACAACAAAACATTTATCCAGTTCAAAAAGTAGCATCTGTTAATAATGACAAACAACAACAACAACAAAGCATTAATCCAGTTCAAAAGGAAACTTCTTCTACTAAGAATAATGACGTGCAACAACAACAAAGCATTTGACATAATTATTTTTTGTCACTAAAATAGCCTTTATTATACGATTTGTATATAGAATAACAGTTCCTTCTGAGATTCCAAACAAACTAGATGTGGTAAAAATATCTCCTTTAATGGCTAGTCTTCTAAGAAACACAGTTGCTTGAAAATTAACATCTATTTGTTTAATAAAGGCATTTGTATGAAATATTGGATTAATCTTTAAAATATTACTAATCTATTAAAATTAGATTTGGACATCCGAAAAAAAATTTTAAATCTTTCTTCATTATACTGAAGATAAACATTATGAAACTTGTCTAAAGAAATTTGATTAGTGTGGATCCTTGGTTCAAGGTAACGAAAATTTAATAGTGAAACCAAAAAACATTTTAAGTTTTCATTCCTATCTTCAAAATATTCTAATTTGTTTTCATCAAAACTTCATCAAATTCATCCAATTCAGTTATTTTTTGGAATAGATTTAGAAACAATGCCTCTTCAATTCTTTCACGAGTTGACATCTAAAAAAACGCGTAAATTTTATTGTGTATGTCAGTCCCAAATATAGAAGTTATGGAAACAACTAGGAAATTTCTGCTCAAAGTTGATTCTTATTTCCATTACCTAATAAGGTATTGTACAACAAGGAACAGGAACAACTTTGAACACCCCTAGTAAATTCAGTAAACTTGTGCAACTTTGAAGCTCAAATTCTCCACAACAACATGACATATCAATGAGATGAAATTGTGATTTTGTAGAGGAAGGTCTTGGCTTCAAATACATGATTTATTTTGGGGTGTTCCATTTCCATTTTTGGAGAATTTGAAAATCTACACAACCAATAAAAAGTTGTGGGACTAAATGACTTGCATCATACTTATTTGTTTATTTTATTAGCATGAGAAATCAATAAACAAAACAGGGTAATGAAGGTGATAATTTTTTGAGGTTGTACAGAGTTAACTCTGTCGTCTTTTAAACAAGTTTTTAAACGAAAACGTGACAGTGAGCTTTGTGTCTTTTGCTCACACAACGACATCACTCAGGTCAAGACAATAGTCTATTTTATTAATTCAAAAAAATACAAATAGGATGGCCGTCCCACATTTTTTTTCGTTTTTTTCGCAGAGAAATTCCTCTCAGGCCATTTCAGCGCACAGAACTCAGCTTTCTACAACGTCCCTGTCCATCTTCAAGCAATCAAGTTTACAGATGGTGAGCACAATTAAACCATGAAATTATTTATCATTATACAAGATGGTCAAAAAATAAAAATACCACTGTGCCGAGTGTTTCATAGCATTATTATAATAAAAATACATGATTCAATTGATTCAATCATTTATTACATATAACAGGAGAGACCGTTCTGGTAACATTGTTGATCAACCAATCAAAATCGTGAATTTTGATAACGTAAAAATAAACGTTAATATAAAACATTGATTCGTTTTGTCAACAATCACTTCACCGACAGTTGTTTCGTTAACAAATGGTTTGAATTTAAGAAGTCGGAAGCAACCATTTGAAATAGTCTAATAAATTAAATTGTACTACTCGAAAATGTATTTAAAGGGTTGGTTTTCGACTTGGTTGAAGAATAACTCTCTTCCTAACTCTTCTGTTGGCCATATCTCTCGATATAATCAAAATAACCTTAATATAACGAATGTCAAAATGATTGTAAACGCGACCAATTTAAGGTAAATCTCGCTAATTGATTTGATTGGTTACATTTGTAATATACGAAGATCCATCAATCAATAATATTATAATTATTAGCAATGACGACAACGAATCATCGTTTTTTGAGGATGATAAGATCCAGTGTGTATAGGAGTGATCGAAGTAATGATATCAATGTGTAAAGTTGAGCATTTCAATATATGTTGATTTTAAACTTATGCTTTTCTCATTTATAATAGTCAATAATAGCTTGTTGAATACACTGATAAGTAAGCAACAGATAATTATTGAAAGCATTAATGATGATATTAAAACGAAACTTGTTGACCATGATAAAAAACTGTAAAAAAGTGACAACTAATAAAAAGAAAACAGACGGTTTTGTTGTAAGTATTGTAAAGTTTCTTTTTGTAAAGATTTTATAATGAAAATTATTGCATGTATAATTGGTAGAAGTTAATGCTGCTGCTACTGTTGCGCAAGATGCCTTTGGCATATTAATAATGTTTTACATAGCTTTTATTAGTAATTTGTACTAAGTGAAGACATTATGTTCGCCGTGTAAAACAAGCATTGTGGAGCACTTTTGGTATTTCTCATCATCTTTCACCTTTTAATGATTACTGGAAAAAGATCAAATGAAGGAATGGAAAAATGGTGCTAAAGCTACGATAAATTGTTGATCCACATAATTATCAATCCATCACACTTATGTTGCAAAAATAATCAAAGAAACATTTACTAAAAATGAGCAAACTGCTCTGAACATGCTATGGATTCAAGCCATCTTGGAAACAATCTTTGATCTGGAATATCTATCACCAAAGCTTGATACAGACATTTTTGACCAGCAACTTGCACTATTGTAGAAACAGCAGGAGGCATAATATTGCCATTTATTTATATAGTGGTTAATTTAAAAAAAATAATGTAATACCTTAATAACACATGTTTTAAGAAAATATTTAACATAATGTAAATTAAATCACTTTTCGTGTTAATAAAGTTATTAATTATTGACATATACTATAAATATATTATTGCATCATACAAGGATTTTCAATACCGCTTGTTTGCACAGGGTCTGTTGTTTAACATTTTTTTGGTGTTAAAAAACAGGAATGTTGTTCAACGCCATTAAAAATTTCCTGATGTATAATTGCCATATTTTTTAGTAAAAAGTCCATCCACTTTGTGACCAATCTATTGGTTCTTCTTCGAATTTAAAAACATGATCTCCACAAGGCCACAGTGGATAATTTTTGCCTAAAAAATATATTGAGATTTAATCAAATTACATGTAACTAAAAACAAATAAATATGTACAGTGTGTAACAAAAAAAAACCGGAAATCTTTTATTTGTTTTGTTCTCAATAATGGTTGAATGAAAATAGATAAAAATATATCGAAAAGAAAGCTGGAAATCAGAAGTTTTTATTAATATAAATTTTATATGAAACTTATTTTAATTGCTTTTAATATTAGGCAATGAAGTTAATTTTATTCCATTTAAAAATTCAATTATAAAAATCAGCAAATTCATTTCTCATTAATTTGCCAAAAGTCATTCCAATTCATTGGATTTTTTTAACATTCATACCCTGTGTCTTGCTTAACAAACTCACCAAAAATTTTAGTGTTTCAATATATGAACATTGTTGAATAATCATCACATAACTAATAGCGCATTTTTAAATTGAAGTCTTCATGAATAAATTTTGAGCTTAAAATAATTGACTTTGAAAAATCTGATTTAAACCAAATCAGCATCTCAATCTTTGTGATAAGTTCAGAAATGATCTCTATATATAATGTAGTGGCAATTGGCTGCTAGAAAAAAACAAAAAACATCATTTTTCTAAATTGCACCAAAAAAATTTCGATTTTTTTTGTTATACACTGTATGTATGTATTATTGTTATTTTTATCCAATTAACTTTATCTGAATTACAATGAATGCAAATTTCATTATCTTTAATTGATAATTTGAGGAAAGGTTTTGAAATCATTATTTCAAGAGAAAAAAAAGATTAATTATATATAAACCTTCATTGACAGGTTCAGTCTTGGCATCGGTCAATTCTGTGCATAAAGTGTGGCGGATCGCACGCTCGCAGCGGTATAATCAGATGTTATAATGTTATTCTTAATTCTTTGGAATAAAATATTCAGCTTTACATTTCGTCCATTCCCTTCTAAAGAGGATGTTTTTTTGTGTAGAAAATAATGGTAATGTAAAAAAAATTAATAATTTATATTAAATAATATTTGCAATATACCTTAAACTAAGCAAATACAAGGAAGTCAAAGTTTAGTATCCAAATATTTAAATGATTAATTCAAAATAATATTTTTTAGCACACTCACTTCTATAATTATCACATTTACTATTTGCAAGTCTTCTTTTAGCATGTTTGTTGATGCTTGTATTGATTGATATTCGAGGAAAACTAAAATATTAGATAATTGACCATAAATTTCTTAAAATTAACTTTCAAACTAGATTTGACATCAAAATATCGAAAACCTTTTCCGTCTTGATAACATTGGGTTTTATTTAATCCAGCAGTATTAGATCCTTTTACAACATCTAAATCATGGCCCGCACAATATATTTTCCTTTTGATAATTTTATAAATAAATCATTCAACTTCAAATATACTAACGTCATCAAGGTTTTTCAAGTACAAAGACCCTGCTTTTAAAATGGTAGAACGAGCTTTAAAGAAAACATCATAATATGCAATATATAATAGTCGAAGCAATATTAAAATTTTATTCCTTAACCACACCACCGATCATTATAATTAATTTGTTAATTCAAAAAGCGAATTTTGAGTTTTAAAATTTTCCAGCTGGAATAAATTTTTGCCTAGCAAATTACTAAATATTATGTTATCGCACCCAATTTCTATGCTTTTAATACGTCAGTAAACATACGGCCATTTATTAATAAAGTAGCATAGCAAACTCACGAGTCGATGGTAATTATATTCTGGCTTTTAACTCGTAAATCAATGAAACAAATATGATTGATGTGCTTGATGTTGTATATGTTATTATTTCAGGTTATTCGTCACTATCATCATTTGCAACCTTTTCCTCAACTGGAAATTCAAGATCATTGATTATATTTTTATAAAAACAATTGTTCCAATTGATCTTTTATATCCAAGTTTCATTTCATTTATTAGCTTCATTTCTTCATATTCTACTTCCTCATAAAAAGTAATTCCTGAAGCAATTCCTATACAACAATCATTGGTATATTTATAAACAATTGTATCAAACACTGATGATGGGTTAAACCTTCTTTTCCCAACATCCACAACAATAAATTTAATTTTATCACCCAAAAAGCTTTTGATTTTCTGTATATAGGAGATACTTTTGAACTAGTTCAAGCAATAAAGAACAAGGGCATGCCGTTTAACATTTGGTATATGCTTGACCAATGTAACTGCTTAGCCATTCGGCAAACTCCTTTTCGATAATTGTCTATCCTGGTTCGATATTCTGGTTAGATAATCTGATTTGAAACATTGGCCAAGTTTTTCTTATTTGTTCACATATTTATATTAAAAGTCAGTCACTTGTAACTTTTCTGTAACATCATTTATGCATCATTAGAACTTAATGAACTTTATTTATTCTGTTTACAGTAACAAATTATATTTTCAAAGATTTCCCTAGTTTAACAATGGACAATTATCAGTTTGTAAAGCATCGTTGGTGCAAAGTAAACAATTGATGGTTTTTGCAATTGAATGAGAATTAGATAAATGGCAAATATTGAACAATCAAAAGTTCTATGGATTTGGTGACGTCAGTTCATTTGATGACATTTAATATCAGCTGACCCTAAATTCTTCTCGGATTACCAAAATACAAATAACACCATTTAAAAGCACGAATTAATAATAATATAAAAAAAAAGAATATTATATTTTTGAAGGTATCTAAGCTAGTGAGTGCATATTTTTTATGAGATTTGTTGCAAAATAAAAAAACTTTATTAAAAATTATATTAAATACTTTAATTCTAACGATCCGAGGTTTTAATATTCATTAAAGATAAAGCTCTTTTTTAAAAGTTTTTAAATTTTAACCATCAGAAAAAAAGAAAAGCGAATTAATTAAATTACTTGAATTAAGAAAATAAATTATGGTAACCTGATAGCTTTCTTTTTATTATAATTAAAAAGCAAACAGCTACCAAGTTAATTATTAGTAATGCTATCGCTGCCTCTTTTGAAACTGTTGCTGCTGTTGCCGTCGCTGTTGTTAGAAGCTGAACAGCTATAAAAAGCAAATTGTTGTTCAAATTATCACCATTTATATTTTGGTGAGGTGTGTTGTTGTTGTTGTTGTTGTTGTTGTTGTTGTAGATGATATTCATCGGAATACTTGAGCGAAAATTATCATGACCAGAGTGAGCTTCGCTAGGAATATTAGGTGCATCCGGTTGTTCGTTGAAAGGAACTTCACGTTGATTATTTTGATAATTCATTGTATTTTTATTGATTTATTAACAAACATGTGTATTAAGGCAATAACTGAAAAAAATAACTTATTTAATCAAAACAGGAAAGAGAAAAGATGAAATAGGAAAAGAAATAATTTATTTGAGAAAGAGAAAATATTTACTTAGGAAAGAGTAAAGTTGAAATGGGAAGAAAATAATTTATTCAAAATGAAAAACGAGAAAAAATATTTTTAATCAAAAGCAAGAAATTGGATTTTTATAATAATAATAAACGATCTTTCCATACACAGAATAATGACAAAAACTCTATAAAACTCTTACAATATGATCGACATTCAAAAAAGGTAAAGGTAACACAAAATATTAAAAATTAATTCGTAATCCGTGAAACAATGCAAAAATTTGCCGATCATTAATATGTTTTTGTGGCGATAATAAACATTATAATTTTCATTACCTCACGTGACCAACGTGAGTCAAGAAAATTACATGACCATGATAATTTTTATTTTATTTTAAAAAGAGTAACTATTAAAAACTAAATAGAAATAACATATTTATATTTTTCTTGGATAAATTAATTCTACAACCATTTTTACATCATAAATATTTTTAGTTGCTTACTCAAACCTTTAAATTTTATATGGGGCATACTGCAACAAAACCAGACAAAGTGAACATTGGTATTATCAAAGATTTCAGGGATCAAAATTTAGTAATGTGATTATTAAAATTTTCCTCTTGATATGTAGAATTACCTCTATATAAAAATTATTTTCAAGTTCAAAAGTATTAAATCATACTTTTTTACTTTTACCATTAAATTTTTATTTGAATTATTTATATAAGATGTTTAATATCCATTAACTCAATAAATTTAAAATTGTGCACCGTAATATATTTTTATTTCTCTTTTCATTTCTCTCCATGTTGAAGCAATATTTTCATGTGAACGATGTAATTTTTTTGTTCTTCTTAGATATCTACAATTTAAATTTTTTCTAAACATAAAATCTAATAAAACTGTGTATTCACGTGAAGCCCATGGTCCCTGTAATTCTTCAACTATTACTAAATCATCATCTAATAACACTGAATATCTTTCATCTTCATCTTCTAATGGTGTAGCAGGTGTAGTAGTAGATATTAACATAGTAGGTGTAGCAGTAGATATTAGTGTAGTAGGTATAACAGGTGTATTAGTAGATATTAATGTATTAGGTATAACAGGTGTATTAGTAGATATTAATGTATTAGGTATAGCAGTAGATGTAGTATGTGTAGCAATAGGTGTAGCAGATGTGGCAGTAGGTGTAGAAGGTGTATCAGTAGATATTAGTGTAGTAGGCGTAGTAGGTGAGTTGGAAGTGATTGTAATTGGAATTTTGTGATTGTTATTATCCTCAACGTCATTCAGTAACTTTTTTTAAAAAAATTTAGATTATGATATGATTGCAATAAATTTTTGTTATTAATGATAAAAAATAGACAATAATGAAATTACCTCATCATATACAGATTTAAATACTTTTAACATATCAAAATGTTTTAATGGTGCCATCGTTTCTTTTATAATATCTTTTATAATTTTTGTTAAATTCTTTAATATCAACACTACTATTATTATAAATAGAAAAAAGCAATATTAATTGATGATTCGCCTATGAATCAGAGAAATGCCAATCAATTTATTATAAAACTAGAGTGATGACGGGTGGCGGGCGATAACCACCACCACCATCCTTAAAACACTTACCCACGATCTTCTGCAATGCCAACATTTTTGGTTCTCTTTGCCGGACGATATGACATTTTAAAAAACAAATTTTAAAAAGAAGTTTGTGATGTGATCGACGCGTACACATTAATTATTTATCCTATTAGTTTTTTTTTTGGTAGGACAGACGCGAATTGTTTTTTTTTTTTTTTTTTTTGGAAAAACAAAAAAAATTTAATTTTTGACAGAGTCCAAGGTGACAAAACGTGAACGTTGTTGTTTGGTTTGGTTTGGCTTGGGTCTCCTAAAGAAAACATGTTAATAACTAACCAGGGTGCTTTTTTTTACTTGTATTGATATTTTTTGGTTATTATAAATATTTTAATTGGAATCAAAACATAGAGCAGATCTTGCTGGGTAATTACAAGATTTTCATTGATAATATTTTGCTTTGTGTAATCGTAATATTAATAATACTATTATTATTATTATAATCACAAGATGTCAAGGCAGCATTGACTGTTGAAAAAGAAACATTTTGAATATGCAACGTTTGATTATCGAAAATTGACAGGTGTTGAAGCATGCATGCTACCTTGAACACTACAGTCATTCTCACATCTTCCTCGTGTACATAAGGCTAATCTGACCAAGTTTCTCTCAATGATACAATGATGCTACTGAATTCCAGGGGAGGGGCTCATGGTCCTGGAGTTTACCAAGACTGTATCAATCGTCAATGACACTTTCACTAATCTTCCCAGACCAGAGAAGGCTGCCATGTTAGACGAAAAGTTGCCTGCAACGGTCCTACCTCTAGGGTAAGGATGGCTCTGTGATCAAGTTGCAACTCTGGAGGAATATTAAGAGAACCTGCAACTCGCTCCAAGCACAGGGGGTCACAATTCAGAGCAGGGTTGGTGGTCCTGAAATTGCATCTGGGCACTGATGTTAAGAGGAAAGTTGTAAAATAGTGTTTGTTTTGTATAATCATTTTCCTAAATTCTCTGTTTCTCTGATTCTAACCAATTTAATAATTTTGGGTAGGGGACTGGATTGGGTTTTTGCCCAATCAGTCTTCTGTCCTATAGGTTAAAATTATCACATGATTATATACATCATTGTCAGCAATATGGCCGACAAGGAAAAAGTTATAAAATGGTTCAGATTTTGTTTGGTATGTTTAGGGATGTTCCATTGCGCATGCTTGCGCATGACTTGCGCAACTTGCGCATGCAATTTTTAAAAATCTTGCATTTTCCCAGCATAGCGGACATTTGCATATTTGGTAATGATTTGCGTTAATCACATTTTGATTTTATCACGTAAAAAAGAATTTTGATTGGGCTGAATATCATTACTAAATTAACAATTACACAAAATCACTAATTGCGCACAATCATTTTTTGACATTAATTAATTTTTAAACATAATAAACAAAGTTGTTTTTAGCTGTTAAAATATTTTTATACATAAAAAAATGTGATGTGATAGATACAGAGATAAAGACACATTATAAAAAAAATAATAAGGAAATTAGAATTGTGCAAAAATATGGGTTTACAATTTTTTTTGCAAAAATCCCTTTCATAGATTGTGTGAATTTAACATCTCTGTTTTTTGTAAATAAATAAAATTCAATGTCATTATAACAGCAACAGTAGTGAATTGTTATCCCTTATCCATATTTGAATATTTGAAATGATATTTTGATTCTTATTATAATACTTTCGAATATAAATATCGTAACACTTTCAAATATTGTAACACTTTCGAATATTGTAACACTTTTGAATTAGAATATCGTAACACCTTTGAATACTTTCAAATTAATATTAACACTTTCAGATGTTATAATATTGTAATTATAATATTAATATATATATACTTTATTTTTTTAATTAATGTAACAACATTTCATGTAATTAAATATATAAATTTGTTTCCATAAAAATCATTACATATTATTATTATAACGTAAATTATTACACATATATTTGAAAGAGTTACATTATTCAAAAGTGTTACAATATTTGAATATATAAAAATTATTTGACACCAATTTCGAAGTAGGGTATCAATGATGGAATTGCTTATAATTAAACAAAATGTATAAAAGAACTCTGAATTCCATGTAAAAATAAATTAGTTTTAACAAATAAAATTATTATATAATAG